TATTTACACTTTCAGTTTCTCACACCAGAGAAACTATTTGGTATTTATACATGTGTGTCCTATTTATTTTTTATTTTGAAATAGTCTGGGAAGTCATTAAATTGCCCAGGGTGGGCCTAACTTTCCATTTTCTTATCTGGCCTCCCAGAGTGCTGGGATCGCTGGTATGGACCACCACACCCATATTCCATACAGCACTGTTCACAGTACTAGCAAGTTGTAGAATTATGCTAACAGATGAATGGGTAGCTAAAGAAAACATGGCATATTGGCCAGGGATTTAGCTCAGTGGCTGCCTGCCTGGCAAGTGCAAGGTCCTGAGTTCAATTCTCGGTACCGAAAAAGCAAAAGAAAACATGGCACACATACACAATGAAATACCATTTGGCCTTAATAAAAAAGGAAGCCTGCCGGGGATTTAGCTCAGTGGCACCATGCCTGCCTCCCAAACGCAAGGTCATGAGTTCGATTAAAAAAAAAAAAAAAAAGCAATTGAAGTAAGAGGCAGAGAGGGAATGTGGTTAGCAGAGGAGGGGTCAGGAGGACTGGGGAGGTGCTAGTGAGAAGATACACAATTCCAGTGAGACAGGAGGGTTATGTTCAGAGAAGTCCACTGTATAACATGATGACTTACTCTGATACACACCAGAAAATTGCTAAGAGTAGATTTCAGGTGTTCTCATTACAAATAAACGTGAGAAGAAGAAAACAGAAAAGTACAGACTCAAACAGGTATCTGCAGGGCAGTGCTCATAGTTCCATTATTCATACAAGCCGCAAGGTGGGACCCTAGCAGAGCCTTAAGTTTCTTGATTTGGACTGAAGTTTTATTACTTTTTTTGTAGTGACATTCTTTAGAAGTTATATTTTCAGTTAGTAAAAGCTTACATGAACTGGTTATTTAGTATTTGTTCAAAGGACAGCATTTCAAAGTGGCTCCATGTGGAAGGAGGGGCAGAGGACAGCTCTGGGTACTCAGGTATGGCTTCCTCTGAGTCCCCGAAATTTCTTGACATCTTCAGAGACAGATTTAATCTGAAGCCTCTTACAGGCCCTGTAGCTCAAAGCACCCCACATACCTCTGTGTGGCTCGTAGTTGAGGGGACGAGACAAACTTGCTTTGAGATCAAATACTGGTTTCTTATTGGAGACAGGAGTCTGCGTTGTCATGGCTGCCAGCTTGAATGGAGTAATCACTAAAAACAAACAGAAAACTTCAAAACACTGAAGGGCTTAATTAGGAAAAAGGACCTGCTATAGTAGTTTCTAATCAAAGTATCACTTCTCAGTCTTAAAAATCTGTAGTCCAGACACCTCAGTCCACCCCCAGTGCGACTGGAATTGGGGTAGGCCCCTGGGAGGTGAGTGGGTCTTAGATGACATTAGTACTCTCAACAGGGTCTCACAGGGCCCACTGACACTTTCTGCCACCTGAAGGTACAAGGCGGGAGGGAGTCCGAGAGCTGGAAGGGGCCTTCGCCAGACCAGACCATGCCCGCACCTTCGTCTAGACTCTGGGTCTGAGAAGGAAGCTTCCATTGTTTGAAGCCACTCAGTCTTTGCCAGTGTTTTAGCAGCCTGGACAGGCTAAGAGCATCTATATGAACAGTCTAAAGTAGATGTAGGATGGGGTGGGGGGCGTTGAAAAGCATGGGAGAAAAAAACTGAGAACAGCTAACCAGTAGATATCCCCTTAGCAGCTCCCAAATCATCTGAGTGCCATGACATTTCCTAGGGTCAGTGGGCATCTAGAACTCTGTTTAAAGAGATAACTGGGTTATTCTTCAGCTGTTTCCCTGATAGTAGACAGCCTTCCTTTAGAATTCTGTCAATCACCCTATTATCATTAACTCAAACTGACATAAAGATACCTAATGGATGAAGAGAGTCCTACCTCAGGTTGTTATTAATAAAGGTTATTCTCATTTAAGGACTTAAGTTTCTGTAAGGTACTGTGGTGCACACCTGTAATCCCAGCAATTAGGAAGCTGAGGCAGGAGGATCATAAGTTTGAGACCACCACTCTGACTAACTTGATGAGATCCTATCTCAGAAAAAAAAAAAGGCTGGGGATGCAGCTCAGTGAAAAGGTTCTGAGTTCAATCCCAGTATCCCCCCTCCCCCAAAAAGTGAATTTTTGTACCGTAAAGTTAAAAATGTATCATAATGCCGGGGATTTAGCTCAGTGGTTCTGCTGCCTGCCTCAAAAGTGCAAGGCCCTGAGTTCGATCACTGGTACCAAAAAAAAAAATATATCGTAAGACTTTTTCACGATACTTTTCACTGAACTACATTACCAGACCTTTAAAAATTCTTTTTAATTTTTATTTTTTAAAATATTTTATTTTTATTGGTACAGGCTGGCCTCAAACTTGTGATCCTTCTATCTCAGCCTCCCAAGTAGCTGGGATTACAGCCATATACCACCACCCCAGCTACAAAATTTTTGCTTTTGATTTTATAGGTATGGAGAGGCTTTAAGGAAGGACAATTTCAGGAAGTTACATGGCTTAAAGATGAAACGTTTTACCAGCAGCAGCAGAATTCCCCTTGGTGGTTTTTAACGTGGGTGTCCTGAACACAGCCTGGCCTTTTGGGGTGTTCCCAGACATGGTCACATGTGGAGACTTTCTGGCTGGAGTCTTGGTTAGTGAACGCTTATGCTCATTATCTTTAGTAGCAGCTGAAAACCTAAACAGGACAGTGGAGTGCAAGATGCGAGTTCCTGTGTAAAGTTTACAAATGAAAGCACTGGAGCATCTCCAGGCAGGAAACATGTTTTTAAGAGGCTGATGGGAAGACAAATCGTGTCAATTTTCATTATTCATTACTTGTAAAACATACATTTAGAATCTTCTGATGTCTCCACTCTGGCCACTGACCTGAGAGGCAGTGTGAGGGATACAGGTGTAGACTTTGAGTTACAGTTCAGGACCTGATCCAAGAAGCCACCCCCAAGAGACACTGACACCAGGTCTGAGGGACAGGAGACTGCCCTGCCAGGGCAGTGATAAAAACCTTCCTAGAATACTGTAATATCACCCTTTCGAGCAGTCCGTAAACCGGCCCAGTCTCTACTCCTGGCAAATCGGCGTGAGTGTATTTCAGTGATTGGGAAGTGTTTTATAACTGTTAACACATCTGTCAACAGTTACCAGGCAGTGACTTATCTTCATGGTTAATGAAATAATGTTGACTCTTCAATGGACAGATTCAGTGAAATCCAGTAATGACAGATGTAACTACAGATGTATAAATTTATTGTTGGTGGGGTCAACAGAGTGGAACTTCTGGACATATAACTAAGAGATGATCACCGGAGATTCAGCTCAGTGGCACCACGTCTGCCTTGCAAGCACAAGGTCCTGAGTTCGATCCCCGATACCGGAAAAAAAAAGGGAGTTGATGGTGATCCTGAGTCCATACTCTCATTATTACCCAAGGCTCCAGAACAGCAGTGAGACAATCACATGTATTAGGAGAGGTGCTGTGAGGTCCAGGCTGCTCTGTACATGGCTGTGAAGTAAGGCTTAGACCTTTGACCACCATTCTTTTTTTTTTTGGTACCGGAGATCGAACTCAGGTCCTTGTGCTTGCGCAGCAGGCAGCGAAACCACTGAGCTAAATCCCCGGCCCATGACCACCATTCTTAAGTAGTATCAAATGAAATTAGGACCACAAATTATAGGTACCTCATATTCCATGCTAATTTGATAAACAGAATTCAAAACTTCAAGAAAAAAATCAGTAACAAAATGAAGATTAGCCAAATAGGTCTTATTTTTTATCCTTATCAAATGTGTGCCTAGGAAAGTTGGATCAAACAAGAAAACTGAACCTAAATGTAAAGAAAGATTAGCATTTAATCAAAACTGCTGACCTTGCTGTGGCTGATCCTTTCATTTTCTCCCTTTTTTTTGCTAACATCAGGTACACCTGAAATCATGCCCCTGGTTACAATTTGGAAATGATCTCCTTACTTGACATTCATTTTCGTCCCTGAGAGACCGGAGCGCTTGACCGATCCTTTCAGACTCACAATGCTCCGCCTCGCAGGGCCTTGGGCCTGGCCTTGTGAGCGCCGCTGGCTGGCAGGAGTGCAAGCTGCAGAGAGCCTTCCTCTTGGAGGTCTGGGTGTCATTACGCCTCGCTGACTGCCAGGCTGCTTCTGAAGGAAAGCAGAAAGAGCTTAGCCTCTTACGTGGTACCTTGTCCTTTGCAAAGTTCTTGGTTTCTCACCCACTCGGAATTTGACCTGCATCCCTTCCTCCCCTCCCCTCATCCTGTGCTGCCTGTCTGGCCCCTGCAGTTCCCCCCGCTGTGTTGCTGTGGTGGCCATTCCCTGAGAACTGTGTGACCAGAGCCTTTCCAGGCTGCCACATACCCATGTATTTTCTAACTAGAAAGAATGTGGCCAAACAGTCCCTTGTAGGTCTAGGCATGGGACCTCTCAGAGTGTGATACACAGTTTTAAAATATAAGCTTAAAGAAGAACCTACTACAGATTAAGCATGTACAATCTACAAATGATTCTACCTACTCCCTTGCCCCACCCACTCCCTTGCAATAGCATTTTAAAGTTCTTAAAAATACCCCCCTCCCCATAAAAAAATGGAAGAGAGGGAAAGAAATGCTCACTTTTAGTATATGTGCTGCCGAAGCGAGCACATGAAATGCTCACTTTTGACATAGCTGTGAAGGGCTGCACTTAGGTTATCTGTTTTTGGGTACCAGGGATCGAATTCTGGACCTTGAGCTTGCGAGGCAGGCAGTGGAACCACTGAGCTAAATCCCTGGCCCTAGGTTATCATTTTTAGATATCATCAAGGCAAAAGAATAAATGAGGGCCGGGTGTGGTGGCGGACACCTGCAATCCCAGCCCTTGGGAGCCTGAGGCAGAAGGAACACTCTGATTTCGAGTCCAGCCCGGGCTACATAGTGAGTTCAAGGCCAGCTTGGACTACATAGCAAGACTGTGTCTCAACCCTGTCACTGGGCCAGGGATTTAGCTCAGTGGTTCCAGCGCCTGCCTTGAAATTGAAAGCACAAGGTCCGGGATTCAATCCCCGCCCCCCCGCAAAAAACCCCACCCTGTCACTACAGGTATGTATTGCAAACATTTTAATAAAAATTTTTTATCATTTAAGCAGTTGTTCTGGTCTTAACTTTAGCTGCAAAATTAAGTCCTCCCTACCGCATAATAAGGAATACTTGACTGTCCATCAGGGACTTAACAAATCAGCTTCCTGGTAGGGGACAGGAGAGCCCTGCTCCCAGGCACCTGTGCAGGTAGCTCACACCTGTGTGGAAAGAGTAGCTGTGTCTTCTTGTCATACACTGGTCTTTGAACCTCTTGTACCGTGTACAACCCTGGATGTAATGATACCTAGCCCTTCTTAATATGTTAGGCCGCCTAACTATGGATACACTGAATACCTTTAGATTTTCCATCCATGCTGTTAGAGCAGTCATAAGGCATGGAGACATTTAACAACATGGCTTGGCTTTGTTGCTGTTAGCAAGTTGATGGTATCTTTGTTTTTGGTTTGTTCACTTTTTGGTACCGGGGATCGAACTTGGGTCCTTGCGCTTGGGAGGCAGGTGGCGGAACCACTGAGCTAAATCCCCGGCCCTAATGGTATTTTTAAGTAATAGTGATTTTTATAAATACTGTTGAATTAAAATGAACATTTGTTCTTTTAATTAGGCTTCTCACCGAAAAGCTTATGTACTGTACTTTAAAAGCAAGCACTTTGGGACTGGGGATTTAGCTCAGTGGTTCTACCTCCTGCTTTGCAAGCGCAAGGACCTGAGTTCAATCCCTGGTACCAAAAAAAAAAAAAAAAAGAAACCCAAAAGCTACCACTTTATCAGTCTGGGCTCCAACTCACAACTCAGCTGTGTAGCCCAGCTGGCCTCAAACTAGTGAGATCCTCCTGCCTCAGCCTCCCAAGTGCCAGAATACCCAGCTTCTTTGCCACTTTTAAATGGATCTTATACTGTTTCCTGTTATATTTAAATACTACAAACTGCCTTAAATGCTTTTTTGACAAGTAGGTTTTCTATCTTACTAAATTCCAAACTAAGTGTTTCTCAGCCCTCTATTTGGTACCCTCTTAACCCCAGATACCAATAACAGCAACTTCCTAGGATGCATCAGCTCACTGCCGACTCAACCAGGCTGCCTGCATCACCTCCCCTTACCGAAGAGGGCACTGAGCCCAGCAGGGCCTGGCCCACAAACCCCAGGGAGGTGTTACCACAGACACCCTTTGGGAGCCACTGTGAGTGGGGTGACAGGAAGGACGACAGCTCTAGCCATACTCAGTCCGTCCTTGATGCATGGTAGGCAAAATGTCAGGGAAAAGAGAACTGGTGGCCACTTTGGAATTGCCTTCTTGTGGTGAGGGTACTTTATTTCATCCTGAGAGTTTTGACAATTTCAAGATACAGATGTTAAACCCACACAAAATGCTCCTTCGGGGAGAATCCCACACAGTTGGCTGTATTAAGTGGGGTATTACATGGCTTCAAAATTAATACCAAACGATTTAGTCCCACTAAGAACATGAATTTCATCTGCATACCTTCAGTTCATGAGATGAGTGGAGTTTCTTTCTTCTCTTAATATATTCATCAATGGACTCCATTTCCTTAAAATGAGCCTCATGGAGCTTTTTAAAGTCTAGAATATTTCCCCAAAATATGAAAATTAAGACAATCCATTCAGTTGCTTGCCTGGATTTTTCTGTTCACATTTTTTTTTCATCCCTGACAATCACCTTTATTTTTTAATTTAATTAATTTATTTATTTTTGAGACAGAGTCTTACTATGTAGTTCAGGCAGGCCCTGAACTCACTTATGTAGCCCAGGCTGGCTACAAACTTGGAGCGATCTTCCTGCCTCAGCTTCCTGAGTGCTGGGACTACAGGCATACACCATCATGGCCTTCGACATTCAACTTTAATACCTAGCTCCTAAAACTTTAATTTCAAAGCATGTAGTTTTTAGACATTCAAATGGCCAGGGATATTCATCCTATAGATTATTAAACATTCACCATTTCCCCAGAGTCCATTTCTCTGTCAGCCTGGTTTAGTCTGAAGGAGAAGAGTAACAGATTGTCTTGTCCTACTAACCAATTAGTTAAATGGCTTTCATTTAATCATCACCAATTTGATGGGGATCGAAACCAGGGCCTCCTGCAGGCTAAACACATATTTTTATGACTAAGGTACAATCCCCAGTTCCTCAAATTTGGTACTTCATAATGCTTAGAAAGCTGTATGCTAAGGATTGACAAACTTTCTGTTCATGGGCACAGAGTGAGGATTTTAGGCTTTGTGGCCACATATAGTATGCCTCTGTCTCATCGTTTAAGTGATTTAAAAGTGTGAAAAGCATTGTTAGCTCAAGAGATATAAGACTAACCAAGGCAGGTAGGCAGGAGTTTGCTGACCACTACTCTATGCTATTTATATAAACATTTCTTTTTTTTATTTTTTTTGTACCGGGTATCGAACTTGGGTCCTTGCGCTTGCGAGGCAGGCGACGGAACCACTGGGCTAAATCCCCGGCCCTATATAAACATTTCTAAATATGATAAGTATTCTAACATCTAAAAATATACAATAGTCAACATTGAATGTACCAGGCATTGTTCCACCTGTACAAGCTAGAGAAGATTTACATATTCAAAAATGGAGTCCCTTAGATTTATTAGAAACTTAGTACGTGGTGGGCACTGTGTCAAATACTTCGTAGACATTTACTCATCAGATATTTGCTGACAGCCTGGTACATGCTATTGGCTGTGCTAGGTAACTGGTGACAGAAAAGAGACTCTCAATTAATCTACTTATCAACCTGATGAAACAGGTAGTACAATCATTTCTACTTTACACTGAGGAAGTTGGATTACTGAGAATAAGTTGCCTAAGATCTCAAAGCTTGAAATGAAGAACTGTAGAAGGTAAATCATGGAAACAACCCAAATGCCCATCAACTGGAGACTGGATAAAGAAAATGTGGGTTTTTTTTTTATAAAATGGAGTACTACTCAGCCATAAACAATGAGAAATTAGAGACACTTATAGCTAAATGGATGCACATTGAGGCGATACTCTTAAGTGAAATAAATAGGACACACAGGTATAAATACCGAATAGTTTCTCTAGTGTGAGAAACTGAAAGTGTAAATAAGGACTAAAAGGTATAATAGATAATGTGAAAAAGGAAGAAAAGGTGCAAAGGGGAAGGGGAAGTGGGAGGGGTAGGGGAAAGGAAAGAAGGGAATGGAGTATGAGAAAAAGAAAAAATGGAAACAAAGTCTTTGTAAATAGGGGTGGAGGGGTTGAATGGAGGGCAGGGGAAGGGGAAAAAATAAGAACCAAGATGGATTATGTAAAGGTGCAAATTTCCAGTGATGAATGTCATTATATTGTATACCTTAAATGTACCAACAAAATTAATTAAAAAAAAGTTAGCCTTGGTTCCAGCCTCTGAGCTTTCAGCTGGTACCCTCCAAGAACTTTCCCACACTAGTCAGAAGTGGGCCAGCCACGACCTGGTGTTTCTTTGTGTACAAGACTTACTTGGAGTAGTGACTGCAGTTCTTTTCCTGTTCCCAAGTTTGGAAAACCCATCTGTACACTGAGAATTTCTTTTTGAAGGTTCCTTTGAATCTTCATCATCTAAAGCCAAAGATACAGAAATAATAAACATTTTTCCATTAAGCTTTTTTTTTTGTTTTGTTTTTGGAGACATGGTCTTGCTATGTAGTTTAAGCTGGTCTTTAATTCTCAGCAGTCCTCCTGTCTCAGCCTCCCGAGGGGTGGGATTGCAGGTGTATGCCATCATATCCAGCTCCAAGCATTGTTAACTTGAATAATGAAGAATTTTTTTTTTCTTTACTTTTGTTTTTTTGGTACCGGGGATCAAACTCAGGTCCTTGTGCTTGCGCAGCAGGCGATGAAACCACTGAGCTAAATCCCCGGCCGAATAATGAAGAATTTTTTAAAAAAATTCTAAGAAACATTTGTAAACTGGAAATGGTGCACGCTTGAAATCTTAGCACTCTAGGAGGCTGAAGCAGGAAGATTTTAAGTTTGAGCCCAGCCTGGACAATGTGGTGACTTAAGGAGATCGTGTATCAAAATAAAAAACGGGGGCTGGGGATTTAGCTCAGTGGTTTCACTGCCTGCTCTGCAAGCACAAGGACCTGAGTTCAATACCCAGTACCAAAAAAACAGGGTGGGGATGTAGCTCAGTTTGAGGGCCCTGAGTTCAATGCCCAGTACCCCTTTATCCCAATATACACACACAAAAAAGAAAAAATTTAAAAGGTTAGTTACAAGGTTTACTATGAAAAAATACCAATGAACCTTTTATATTCTGTACATTTATGTAACAAAATTCTTGTTTAAGAAAATACATTAAAAAAGAAAAAAGAAGGGCCAGGGACTTAGCTCAGTGTTTCTGCCAGCTGCCTCGCAAGTGCAAGGTCCCGAGTTCATCCCCAGTACCAACAAAACAAAACAAAACACACAAAAAAAGTTCATTTCTTCTCTTAGAAATTAAATAACATGGTTGCATTTAATCTTCCAAACTGCCTGTGTTTCAAGGGATGAACCTGACTGGCTCATCCTCTTTTTATCCAAGGAAGAGAAACTAAGTCCTAGAGACCTTCGCTGTCAGCTGTCATAGTGCATCTTGCTTTAAATCACAATTTAAAAATGGGTCTATGCCAGGCATGGTGGTGCACACCTGAAATCCCAGCACTCTGACAGGCTGAGGCAGGAGGACTGCAAGTTCAAGCACAGCCTGGGCAACTTAGCTAGTTAGTAAGACCTTGTCTCAAAATTAAAAAATTAAGGGCCAGGGATTTAGCTCAGTGGTTTCGCTGCCTGCTGCACAAACGCAAGGACCCGAGTTCGATCCCTGGTACCAAAAAAAAAGACATAAAATTAAAAAGAGCTGGGGATGTAGCTCAGTGCAAGAGCCCTGGGTTCAATCCCCAGGACCACACACATAAAAAACAAGCATTGATATACATGAGTCAAAATGGTAGGGAGGGGCAGGTGTTAAACTAGGCTGGGGGAGTAGCACAGAGGTATATAGACCCGTAGTGTGGCTGGCCCGGGGTTCTATCCCTAAATTCTCCCGCTAAAAAGAGAAGAAAAACAAAATAACTCAGCAGATTCCCATGCTCTGCAGTTAGGTAGAGGGCTAGTGAGACAAAATGAAAGCGGGCCGGGATTTAGCTCAGTGGTTCCGCCGCCTGCCTCACAAGCACAAGGGCCCAAGTTCGATCCCCTGTACCAAAAAAAAAAAATGAAGGCTCTCCTGTCACCAAGGAAGGATCAATGTCCCTGTGGTTTCCAGCCATCACTCTTTCTGTCTCCCTTTTTTGCTGTTATAGAGCCTCCTTACGTAGTCCAGGCTGATCTTAGATGCAGTGTGGTGGCAGAGGCAGAGTTCAGAGAGGTGCGCTGCAGGCCAAGGAGCACCAGGTAGCAACAGCCCCACCAGGCAGAAGAGGTGAGGAAGGTACCAGGGGCTTGCTGCCACCTTGGTTTGGACTTTGGGGTCCCCGAACTGAGACAGAATCTGTCTCTGTTGTTTTAAGCTGCCCAATTGGTGGTACTTTGCTACATAAGGAAATTAGGCACAGGGACTCCCTGGCAATTTTTTAATGTCTTGACATACCATTTATTTTATTTTTTTCTGAGGAAACTGCATGCTCATCTCCACGGCTCTCGTCTGGTAGAGGAGGAATTTTTCCAGTACTTCTGAGATCCCAGTTTTCCTGCCCTTCTTGATTCTCCAATTCGGTGAGATGACTTAGGGTAACCTCAGAATGATCCTGCTACAAATTTTAAAAGGAAATAAATAAAAAATAAGAAGTAATCACTGCCTTCTAAAGATAGGTACCAAAGGGCTGGGGATGTAGCTCAGTGGTTTTGCCACCTGCTGTGCAAGCGCAAGGACCCGAGTTCGATCCCCGGTACCAAAAAATAAATAAATAAATAAATAAATAAACAAATAAAGTATTTAAAATGCTATAAGATTTAGCAAGTTATAAACTTAAGATTCAGGTAGGATATTATGGGAAGTTTACATAAAAATATTATCATTTTATTTTAATATTAATATTTTATTAATATTTAGTATTAATATTTTACTATTTAAAGTGTAGTGACATTTAGTCTAAGTAATTGTTTTAAAAATGAGAATACAAATATCTAAAGCTCTATATATTACTGCATTACATAACAATTAAATACATGTGTTACATGTTAAATGAATAAAACCCTTGCAGTAGAAGTCCATTCTTCAGCATATTTTATTTTCCTCAAACTTCACAGCATCATAACTTTTATTTTTAAATTTGGTAACACCTAAGAATTAACTCATCTCATAAATTTAAAATTAACAAGCTATATTCAATTACTATCTTAATATGTCAATAAACAGTTAATAGAAACACATATATAAATGAAGTAACACTAAATTATTTAATCTTTTAACAGACTTGACAAAGAGCATTCTATATCATAAGACAGTAATTAGTTCTGAAACATTTAAGAAAATTAATTTTTTAATACTTAGTACCAACAAAGTATCTTGTAAAGCATACAATTTTGATTCTATTTATAACTATTTTTGTGTAAACCTTACATGGAAGAATATCATAAGCTGCCTTGTACTTAGTAAATACAGTCTCTACTAATTAATTTATTTTTTATTGGAAATTATACATTGTGTAATAAATTTCCAACCTTTTAAAAGAAACTTTCCATTGCATATACACATTTGCTATAAGTATAGTACAATTCCACTAATATTTCTTCAGTTTAAAATGTCAGTACTCATAAGAGAATATTCATTTAGTTGAGTGAATCATCTCAATATATTTGCCCATTTAATGTAAACAATTCGTTTTAATACTAGGATTTATAATTCCAATCTTAAATCTAAAATATTTAAATAAAATTATACTCGCATTAAACAAAAATGAAAAATGTTACAAAAATATCAATTTTTCTCTTTCTGGAGAGTTCTTTGAAATCTCCCTTGTCA